AAATGTGCTACTATTTTTGACCCAGACTTGTCTTCCATTTTTCTGCGTAAGTCGAATTTGAAACTTGATTCTCCGTTCCCCGTTCGTGAATTTTTCGAATCCGTCCAGGTGGGATGCTTGACAAATGATAGGCTTTTCCATGCCAAACTTTTTGATTCTCCCAAGTGCCGATTGCGCGATCTCGTGTCCTGGAGTTCATGCAGCCGTCCCTAGACCACATGACCACAAGTTTGGCCCCCATTCTTCTATATTTGGATTGTGCTCTCACCCAAGGAGTGTGGCGCTTCAAGACCTCCTCCACTGGAGATTCTAGTCATGTATTTGACCCCACCAAGTGCGAGTTTTTTTGGACCGATGGATTATGATGGATCTGTCCAGTGGGGCGACTATTTCTGGCTGTCCACAGGTGCATATGCTATCGTGAACGTCAACCTCCAGATTGTCGAATGTGGGAACTTTCAGCCTTCACCGGTGAAATCTAACATCTCTAAAAAAAAATCCTTGTGCCGTGTTAGTGTGGCTGCTTTTGGCTAGTGCGTGTCCTTAAGATTTGGATCTATGTTAGTATTGAAAAGCTGTGGAAACAAACCGGAGAAATCTGGGTAAGGTTGGACGCTGGAGAGTCTAACGTGGCATAATCGAAAGCATGTTTCGAGCCACCTCGGGTGGTCTATGTTAGTTTACAAGCTTGGGAAATCCCAGGGGTTGTTGGATGCTTCGAGTCTAACATGGAACATTTCAAGATCAAACACATAGCTGCTTGTTGGCCATCAGGCATATTCTATGTTAGCGTCTGCGGTTCCGCTGCAGAAACTAGCCATGCTTACTTGAGAGTGTTCTATGTTAGTCTCCAAAAACCACATAGCCTCGACCACATAGTCTCAACCGGTGCTTTCCTATTTCCCCAGGAGGTCACCGTTGCAGGTGTGCCATGTTAATGAGCACTAACTTCGAGACCCGTGTTCTATGGAAGATTTCCCCGGAGTACACCACTGAATTGTTCGCGTTACTCAGGGCCATTAAACAGGCTAGCTGTCGCATTGTCATCAAGACCGACTGCCAATCCATTGTAAGCCAATTTTTGGAACTTTGCCAAACACAGAGCGTGCACGCAAGTTGGTCACATCAGAATTGGTGGTCCGAAATTCTTTCCTTGTGGCTGCAGCGTTCACAACTTTGTGATGCTCCTATCCAGGTGTTATGGACGCCAAGCCATTTACTGGAACATATACCTGCAGAATACTGAGGCAGCTGCAAGACAACATGGTTCTACTGCGCAGGACATCATTGTCAACAGTCGCGCTGACAAAGAAGCCAAACGCATTGCTACGGAACGATCACCCATACATCCTAAGGATCAGGAGGTGGTCGAAACTGTTGCGCTTTATCGCCAAGAATGGTTGGTGATGCTGAATTGGGTCTTGGAGATGACTCAACCTTCTCCCGATAAATCCAAGGCTCCAAAGCAGACTGTTGAGCCCGTTCATTCAGTTGTTTCGAGGTTCCCGCAATGGTCGTGGGCAAGTCCCATTACTGACTATCCATGGAGGCCAAAGATCCTTTCAAGGCAGAAGCCTCCGGATCGTTGGACCTTTACTGAGGAGGACTGGCAGCATTGTCAAGAATTCTTCCAAGGTCTCAGATAGAAGCATGACCCCAATATGTGCGTTGCTACAACTGAGCTGGCGTGTCTCTTTTGGTGGAAAGGCTATCGTCACTCCCAACTTGAGCATGGGGTCAGTTGTTTTTGCCATCATTTGATCCTGGTCTTTCGATCCATGTTGAAGCAACTGATTCAACTTGATTGTTGCCAAGCACTTCCCGGTGATCTGGTGCCCAACGACAACAACTCGTATGGGAGAGTTCTTCCGAAAGGAACAGTCGATGACGAGCGCCTGCAATGGGTACACTTGTTCGATGATGGAGCTGCTCATTCCGTCCTCGTAAAACATTCCTCTACCCTTGGTGCCTAATTAGATTAGATGCATGTTCTCTCTTTGTTCTTCACTACGGTCTGCTCCAGAGTGGGTGTAGTTGCGAGATTTGACGTGCGCTCGCGATGATGAGGGAAGAAATCCTGAACCATGGACTGTGGATCCGGAAAACCACCGTACTTCTGGTGTTTTGGTGGTTCTGATGGAAGAGTAGGTCCTACCGTATACAGTATATAAATCTTCCAGCGTCTGGCCACATCTCGTTGTAGTCAAGGCACACAACGTTGTCCAGTGAGATTCTCAAAGGTCCCTTGAGCAGAGCAGCGCAATCGCACCAAGCGCTGTGCTGGGACGCCTGCAGTCGGTTCGTCGGGCCATGAAATTCCCTAGCACAAGCTTCAAACCTGCACATTGGTGGTTCAACCACGTTTTCTCTCAAGGTGGGAAGTCCAACCTGGAGGCCCAGTGGAAGGTGCAAAAGTCACTTGCCACTGGCCCAAGCTTCCATAACCTTCAACTTCCTCAGTTTCTTGCAATCTGGCACAATCCTTTGTTTCATCTGGTTGTGCAGTGCTGGAATCAGGCCCGGGCATAGCCCACATTGCAGGCATATTGAATCATGTCACCAAATCTGCTGACTGGAATGTCCTCCCACATGGGGGTCTTCGGGTCCACCCTCTCTTGCAAATTGCATCAGGAAATGGGAAATTGTGGAGCTGACTCCTGCAAGGCCTGAGCATACGCTGGACCCTGTACTTGGCCGCAAATCACCGGCTGGCAAGACCCAAGCCAACCTCAAACTTCCGCACTTGAGAAAAGACAAAGAGAAAGGTTTCAAAAACTCAATGTACGTATGAAAATCAAGAGGATGTCGAGTTTTTGGAGCAGAGCTCAAAAGGGGTATACGGCCTTGAACTGTGTCCCATTCCAGGCCGACGCGGTCTCCACCCAAAGAGGAGCCATTGAGGCTGTAGCCCTGTGGCAAAAATACAGTCGTTGAACATGGCTTCGCAAATTATGAGCCTTCTTCTCCAAGCGTGTTAGTAAATATCTTACAATGGCCAAACAAGTATCGCCGCAACTGCATGCATGGGAAGGCTTCCTGGGGTGACGTCATGATAAACTCAAAAACTAGTGTGTGTCTAGTCCTCATACATGCTACTGTAAACACGAAAAGAAGGTTGCAGAACAGCAAACACATATCGAGAGCGTCAAGAGAAACCCAGTTTTCATGCTAGATGTAAATGTGTAAGAAAACTTCAAGGGGGCAAAGGACTTCAGTGCTCGATTGACGAACCTTCAGGTGACAAAGATTGGAACACCTCCCTAAATGCATTTACCATGATCAATCAAGCAAGACTGTGTGGGAAAGGGACGTGATGGATTGCCTCCAAACAAGTGCAATTTGGCCGACCATCCGAAAAGTCTGGACATGGCAAGCCTCATCTGTCACGACACAGGGGCCTCTCTCAGAAGCCCTTATCGATAACACAGCATGGCCAAGACAGTAACTAAAAACATGCAGTCAAACTACATAGCTTTCAACGCTTGAAAGCAAAGTGCAGGTTCAACTTGGCATAAAGTTTTGGAAAGTAGAAAGAACGCAAACACAGTCAGCCCTGCACAGCCACGTTGTGGACACGGTGGCCAGGGCTGGGCGCTTGAAATCGCCAGCACAAAAGCAAAGCGAAACATGATATGCCATGGCGGAGACAAGTTGTCAAGCAAAATAGCTGCCCTGCATGTTGCAGCGTGAGGGAAGGCGGCTTGATGCAATAGGTTAGTTCGGCTTGAATCCAAAAAGTGAAGAAGTCCTCGTTGATTGGACTTGACACTCGTGGCTATGACAAATATCTGACCTCATGAGTGCAGATTCAATGCCTCCAGAAAGTGCTGCAGCAGGCAATTGAAAGGCACTAAAAGAGTCTCCCAATGAAAAACACCAATCAGTACAAGTACAAGTCTGAAAGTCGGAAGGGAATGAAGTGCTCAAGCGAGACTGACTAGGCAATAACATAATTTCCTGTGGCTTCTGCCGCACCAGCAAGGTCGCCGCAGCAGCACCTGCTTGCGCCTGAGCACATGTTGTTGCATACCTGTCGATCCTGAAACTAATGGTACAACACAGGTTGTCACACATGTGTTCACCCACCGTCCTTTCCTGTCGAGATACATTTTACACTGCCCCATCCTTCGGTGATACCTGCCTGCACGGTGTTGAGAGGTGGAGGCCGCTTCGGTGGTACGAAGGCCACACCCCCAGTGCTGCCACCCCATGCCCAATGTCCAGAGGCCTGAAGAAAGGTGGGATCGCCCTCTTGTCAAAAGATGTTAGAACAAGCACCTCACTCAACCCCCAATACAAATTACAAACTAGGCTTAGCGGCTGTGCTCACTGTAGTCTGAAAAACATTGATTTTTTTGACAGTTTTGTCTCGATCAACTTCCCTTAATAATAAGCGAGCCTTTGAAGCTGGTCTTGCACTAGGCACCCCAGGAATAGGGGGTGGGCGCGCTAGACCTGGAGGCATCTGGGTTCGTGTGGCATCTGGCATTGTCGTTTCAACTTATCGATACGACACCAGCATCGACCCCGAACGGCGGGAAATAGCAGACCACTGAGGCAGGAAGCGCATCATGGAGGTCCAAGTCTGTAGGCAATCTGTAAAAGCACTCAAAGCCAGAATGTTCCCCAACCTGGTGTGTTTCTCCAGCGGATTGAACCCCACAGGTTTGCTTTGCGACCGTAGGGGAGGCCGGCGGATCATAGAAAATGTTGTACAGACGGGCTCCACCATAGCGCTTGACAGAAGCCCTGTTGACATGATGTGTGAGAGCCAGCCAATCACTGGCGCCGAGGCCATGTCATATTCACTGCTGAAAGCATATGGACCAACAACCAGCCCCAGTTCTGAAGCAGCTGCAGAAACTTTCGAGGCTCCAGCATACACTTCTATGAAGTCATACTTGAATACCAATGGTCGACCAACTGCTGAGCTTCGAAGCAATGGACCAGCCTCATCATCATCTGCTCCCTCTTCTCTCAAGCCAAGCCTTTGCAACATCGCCTCATGAGGAGTCTTCAGCCTTGTATAGGCACCCTTGCATCGCCCTGAACGCCATAGAAGCTCAGAAAGCGCCGTGGTACATTCAGCAACAGTCGAAGCTCCTTTGAACTCAGAAGCGTCAGTTGAATAGATCTCATCCATAAAAGACGCCCCCAGGTCGGCAACCGCTAGAGGTGCAAGCACAGCCAAAAGGACTAACTCATCAACAACTCTTCTAGGTAGAGGAAGGAGGCGCGGATGATTTGAATCAACCCTGTTTGCATCGACCAGACCATGGGCATGAGCAAGGACACTCATCATAGGCCTCCTGTACGTCAACACTGATGTCCAACCCCCCAGCAAACATAAGTGCAGGACGTCGGCGGTGCTCCGAAGTTGTGCCAGTTGCAGCATTATCTGGCTAAGCGACAACCTCTTGCATAGAGGGGGAGCCCAAAGTGGCCACTCCCTTCTGTCCAGCACGTTTGCTTGAGTTGATCTCAGCGCCAATGATTTTCGCACGCGTCTCACCTTTCACGTCCTTTGCAGGGAAGCCCAATATGCCATACTCATCATAGACTCGTTGGCTCTTGCTAAAGCAGGAGGCTGCCAAACTCTGCTCTGCTGGAGTGGTCCTAGCCTCCCTGGAAATTGCAAAATAATCATCAATGACGAGGCCTTGGCGCAAATCCCCACCAGCAAAGGGCACATTGGAGACAATCCTCTCGGAGTCGACGAGCAGTCCTCTTGACTTAAGGAGCTGTTCATGTGCCCCAGTAGCTATCTCTACTCCTGCATGATTTCCTTGAAACAATGCTTTGAAGCAAATAAAGACATCCTTGTTCTCTTCCGGCTTGTCAACAACAGGTTCTTTGTGGAGAGGCAGATGAAGTCCATCGCCAACCTCCTCCCTGTTCCTTTATCAAAAGCTGCAAGCCCTCTCAGGCTAGACAACGGAACTGCAGGACCAACCGCATTTGCTCTCGCTTTTGCCGCTGTAGTCCAAAATTGATGATAAAAATCTTTTCTATCTGTGCAATAGACTCGCAGATGTCTTGGCTCCACGTATAAATCAAGGAGGTCACTACCTGCAGGCAGAAACTGACTTGGTCCAGGCAAATGACACTCGCAAAAATTGCGACCCCGGCAATCTCCAATTTGTCTGTCTTCATCCAGATTTTTAGAAATTGTTGAATACACGTGTCAGACGCCGACCAGAAAGGTGGAAGCATCAAAACCTCCCACGCCAGTCAAACGGTGTCAGGGAGCCAGCGCTCAATACACCTGTAGGCCGCTACAGTAGCCTCTGGCGGCGGTTCTGCTCGAGCCTCGTCTCTATGATCATGATGCTCCCAGTTGACAAACCGCAGCCCAGTTGCCATGGCCCCTTTCTCTCGGATTGAGACGGTCCCAATGTGCCATTGCCCGTTCTTGGGACCACAAAGCATCGGGTATTGAATGCCAATGAGTGGTTCATACACTTCCTGTGCCACTCGGGCGCTGGTACTCCATTGATGCACTCCTGTTACCCCTGACCTAGCAGCCGCACCAATGGCTTGATGGAAGTGGAAGGCATGCCCTGGCCGTGTGATGGCATAGCCTAGGTCTGCTAGCTCCGGCAAGCGATCATTGTCCAGTGGAACCTCGTGTCCCTTGAACATAAAACTGTACGGTCCTGCAGGGCCCCGTTTTGATAGACAGTCTGAAAGCTCTCCCAAACGTGCGCCTAATTGAGGAAAACGCCGGCCGCTCTTGAGCACCTTGAAGGATGCTGACTCGGGGCCGTCAGCCACTACAATGCTCATCACCTTGTGGTATATAGTTCGGTGAACTTTGGATGGGCATCTCTGCAACAACGCTTTGTTCGGGAAGACACCCAAACCTCCGCGCCAGTAGTTCAGAGCCATAATCAAAACATGTAACACACGCTTCAAGTGCAGACGCCTCCTCTGGCTAAGCGATGCATGTGCAGGCATCCTGTCAAAAATACCTGGCTCAGGTAGAGGGACAGGGAATAGTGGCGATGTCGAAGTCAATGAAGAACTCCGAGGCAAATGCAGAGTAGACAACAAAAATGCGGCAAATGGCGACCGAGTACGTCGTATTGAAATCACGACGCCCGAACACCATCGCCAAAATGAGAACTTTTGAGGGAAGCTCCCAGAAGAACATAGCGGCGACAAAATCTGCGCTTTCTCTGGCGCTTCACCAATATTTTGAATTCCATGCAGCGAAGGGCCACCATCTATTGTCACGCCTCCTCCTGCGCCGCTTTTGGGCGCTTTGGAAACCTGGGCTTTCTTTTGGGCGATGGTGTCTCTTCTGCTTGGGCTTTCTCTGACCCCTTCTTCTTGAGGACCTCTGGTTTCTTGGTGGCCAGGAGCTCCATGTCCTTTATATACCCCAAGGTCACTGCATTCCATGTAGGCGGAATCAGAGGGCGAAGGGTCTTCCTGTACTCATGATGGCAGCTGTCCTCTCTTGGAACAACACAATAGGCGGCTCCTCGAGAAGGCTGATGAGATATGCCACCGTCCAATCGAGTCGTAGTTGGCCTGCTCGACACACATTGCAAGCAGAGCCACCATGTCCTTCGCCCCTTTGAGATCTTGTTGGGCCATTGCATCTATTGCGTGTGCCAGAATCCATTGAATGAGCCCCAAGGACCGCTGGCCTTTCTACCCACCTGACTCCTTCAGATAGTTGAGAAAGGGTACCTCTCCAAGCTCCTCTTCTGACTTTGGAACGATCTTGCCCGGGTGAGTCTTCTTGTGGATCTGTTGCATTAGGAGTAATTAGGAGGAGGAAAAAGTTGCCCGACCTCTGCGCCAACTCGGCTTGCAGCCTCTCCCGCTTCTGCACCCCCTTCATAGCCGATGAGCTTTGAGAGGAAGAGCTGAAATCTAGCAGGTTGTCTCCCTGAGCAGAGATGTGAGCCACCAATGCTGTGAGCGCCGACGACTGCTTTGAGAGCGCATTGACTATCAAACCTGATGTCTGGCTCAGGTCCACATCCCCCAACAAAAGTTCGTTGGGTTCTTCTCCTCCCTGAGTAGGTATTGCATTCTCTGCCACACCCACTTGCTGTTTTGTTCGAGGCGGAGGCCCTGCTTGCCTCAGCTGCTGAGCAATAGAGGGCTGTAGGCCAGCCCCTGAACCAGGGGCGTCTGACACGGCCGGAAGTCTGGGCCTCCTGCCAACGGAGGGTTCTTGAACAACGCTTGCAACAGGAGGAGATGGTTTCCCATGGCCCCTCCAAAGCATCCTGCTGGAACTCAAAAGCTGTAGCTGAGTTGTAATGGCACCTAGCTGCTCCATGATGACAAGGAAGATCCCAAGTCCAAGGAAAGCAAGAGCCCCGCAGCAGAAGCCGGAGATGAACCAGGGGACCACCGACGAAGAGCAGTGAATTGGGCAAGAAGCCTTCGAGGACAAGTCGGCCACGAAGGAGAAGCTTCTGCCAGCCACCTTACCCTGTCAACCATGCCCTTGAGAACAAAGTGAAGCAGGTTCAGATTTAAGCTCACATACTTGTTCGACCAGAACAAGCCTGAGCTTTCAGAGAACGGCGTTGCGTTTGCAAATTCAAGCCGCCTTTTCAAAAGCATTCAGAAAAGTCATTTGTGCGTTCCGAGACATACAAGCGTGCGAATTCAGAAACCGTTGCCTTATGTGAAAAAGGAGAAATGGAGAAGCAAAGGCTCACCCACCACGCGCTATCATGATCATGTGGGGATAATGACTTCACTGAGAAGACTTCAAGGTATCCGATCCAGAGGTTGCCAGTGGGGACACAAGGACAAGTGGGGAGACCGTGACAAGCTGGCCACTGACATCATATCGTAACAGGATTCCAGTGGAGAGACTGATAACAAGCTGAAAGGGAAAGGGGAAATCACGTTGCCCGAGGGGAAGTCACGGGAACAAGGACATGTGGGGAGATAAAACAGAAATCAGACAGGGCGCCAGTGCAGAGACAAGAATGAAGCGAGACAAATGGGGAGACAAAGAAAAATCGTCTCGTGACAGGATGCAACTCTTCGAAAGCCAATGGAACCCGAACAGCAAGCTGTTTGGGAATCATGTCTAGTTCTCTTCTTCAATATAAGTATCCTACACAAAGCAAAGGAAGAGCTTTTGACTTTCCATTCGGTTTGACATGCCTGGTCCTGCCAGCGCCACGATTGCGCCAGCATCGCCTGTGTCAAAGGCACAAGTTGCAAAAGCACCAGCGCATAAAGCGAAAGCGCGCAGCCTGCATAGGAGACAGGCTAGTCCAGAAATTTATCGACTATTCCGACTGTTCTGATTCCTCTTTAAACCTGGGAAGGCTGGTGCTGAGCTGCCTGAAGCTGCCAGCTCCGTCTTAGGCTCCTCAGATGAAAAACAACTGTCGTGAGGCGCGAAATCAGATTTGTCACATTCATCAAAATGAGATTAGCACCCTCTGCACATATTTGGGTGGAGCAGAGCACACCAGGCCTGGCCTTGCGTCAAATTTTACTACGCGCTGCCACTCATAGGGCTTTAACACTTGGAATTCCTGAAACCGGTTGCTCCAAACTGTGCGCCCATCACACAACTGCACATCGGCCTTGTCAGTGTTTCGCTCAACGCCTAACCAGGTCACACAAAGGCATCACTCTGTTAAATTGAAGGACCGAGCAACCCCACACGTGAAGCTTTCGCGTGTACGACAAGTGGTCTCAAAAGCAGAAAAAGGAATGGTAGCGGGTGAGCATACGCGCACACAATTGATGAGCTGAGATGAAGTACGGCGGTGAACATATGGAATGGAGTGGAGTGGAGTGGAGTGGAGTGGAGTGGAGTGGAGTGGAGAGAGTGCGATGAGAGCAAGTCAGCACGCAAAAATCATGAGTCCGTGTGTGAAGTTGTTGCTGGACAAATCATACTGGCCTTTGTAAGCACTTACTTACTTGTGTCTTGTGTTCGGCCTTGCCACGTCCTTCTTCAGTTTGCTTCTCGAGGAAGTCCACCTGGGTTCAAACTTGTCTGCGCCATTACTCGACTG